TCTTGAGTAGAAAATTGACATCCAAATATATCTTCTCCATCTAGTAATAGCAGCCTCTTAAACATATGCTGGTCCACGGGTTTTACACTGTGTTTGGATTGAGTGATTTGGAGAGAAAAGAAAAGAAATAGAGAGAAATGTATTTCTCTTTCTTGTTTGGTTATCTTAAGTGGAGAGAAATTGGGAGAAATAGAGAGAAATGGAGAGAAACTCATTTCTCTCATAACCCTTATTTTCAATCTTCCCAAAAGTGGAGAGATTGGGAGAGAAAAGAAATCCATAAATGTTTATATTTTCATAATACCAATTTTACCCCTATAAAAATAAAAGAAATAAAATGATTGAAAATATAAAAAGGTTATTTTGGTAATATAACATAAAATAATTTCTTTTCTTTTCTCTTAATGAAATCTAACCAAACAAGAAGGAGAGAAATCACAATCATTTCTTTTCTTTTATTTCTTACTTATCCAAACAAAAAGGAGAGAAATTACAATCATTTCTTTTCTTTTCTTTTCTCTTATTACTTAAGTAATCATTTCTCTTTTTTTTAGTGGGCTTTGGGGTTTCACTCAGAAGCTTTTGAAAAATAAAATATTTATGGCATGTTTGATTGGAAGGATTAAAGCATGGGATTAGGATTATTAATCCGTGGGCCCAATCATCCTATGTTTGTTTTGACATTTTAGTTTAGGACTATTAATCCAATGGATAATTAATCCAACAAATTTGTAGGATTATTAGTAATGGGGTAGGAGTGGGATAGTTAATACCACACTAATTTGATAGGATTATTAATACCTCACTATTAGTATTGTGAATCAAACATGACCATGTACTAATTGATATAGTAATTAGTGTGGTAACAGATGATATAGTATAATTTTAGAACCTTTGAGTCTTTATAATTTATATAATAGGTAGAGTCATAATTTTAAAATGATAATATTATAATTATGTTAGTACATTAATTAGTATATCAATTGCTGCATGTGATATAAAAAATAATGGAAAGATAGTGTCGTTCTTTGGTGTTTTATCATTAAATAATGGTTAATATCACAAGTCAAGTAATAATTAGCTGATATTACCATTACACTTTGAATTTTGTTCTTGAGTAGAAAATTGACATCCAAATACATCTTCTCCATCTAGTAATAGCAGCCTCTTAAACATATGCTGGTCCACGGGTTTTAATGTAATTTGCTCAGTCTGGGTAAGATATGAATAGAAACTAGAAAGTTGTTTGCTGGCATGTCATCTCCTCCATCAACAAATCTGACTCCGTCTCTGGCTGATTATCATTGCAAGCCCCAGCCATGCATGGCATTGCAAATTGGCAAATAATGAATTATCGAATCTGAAGCCATTGTGTGGGTTTGTAATTAATGTATGTATGTGTCTCTTCTACTTTTTCTCCGAGAATTTCCCTGCTCTTTCCTTTCATTACAAATCAGGTTGGGCATTGTTGGCAACCCATAACATGTTAGGTTTTTCAATTATTCAATGGCCTGTCAATCAACATGAAATCGGTAGGTCAGAACAGAACAGAGCCCTACTTGCACGTAATGAAAATCAATCTCACTCTTTCTCTCTCTCAAGAAAGAAAGAAAGAAACTGTCAATGGATTAAAATTTGTGGTGATGCAAATGCACAGTAACTTGTGTTACATAGATTCTTTTATTTCTTCCAAAGTGTCATTGTCCACCCGATATGATAAGAGTAAGAGTGTGAGATAAGTGTTGACACCCGTATCTAACTTAGACAATTGGACTTTTTAATTTGGTACAATATATGAAAAAGAAGCAACACACTATTGTTAGTGAAGCAATATTTCCAGCCTATTACATGAATTAGAGATAGAAATTTTTAATCTTATTTAATTTTTGGTATACTTTTATATAATTTTCAACATTCCGTCCGAGAATATTATGTAATATACAATATATATGTGTATATAACATGTTTCCGTATCCATATCTAATTTTAGATACTTATCTCAAGATTTTAAGATTTAAATTTATGAAGATTTGATATTTGGATGTACACCAACACCTAATGTTCATACCTAAGTCTATATCCGAGTCCATGTAACATAGATAGTAACACACCCTAGGGATATGGGAAATATACCATGGCCCCATTTGTTTCTGTTGTAAGAGTCCACTCCGGACTCTTAGTGATGAACAGTGGACATAAATCATATTTGTTTGGTTTATTGGACTCCGAATTAGTAATCCCTTCGGATTATGAAAGGTCTTGGACGAGAGTATTTGGAGATGGTATTAGAAAATAGTCCGTTCAGCTTAGAGTGTTACTAGTCGTCTACCCGGACTTCCGGCTGGTCAATTGTAATTTTTTTTTTTTAAACATGTTGGGCATTTTTTTTTTCAACATTAATGAATGTTCTTGTTTTTTTTTTTGTTTAGTAAAAATTATAATTTAATTTAATTTATTATTTTATAATTATTTAATTTAACAATTTTTACACTAACAGCTATCATTAAAATAAATATAATTTTTTAAATCCCCTCACTAACAATCTACTCACTATTAATTCTATCACTATCAATCTTCTTAATTCAACCTCATTAATCTACTCACTATTAATTCTATCCCATCACCTTACCCCTTTACTTCTTCAGAAAACAGAACAGCTATCAACCTCAAAACTCAAAACAGAGATTTTTGTAACTGTCTTGTTTGTTACACAGTCACAGGTTGGTGGTCTTTCTTTTCGCATCATAATCAATCATACCCCTATTTCTTCCATCACTTTTACTCATTTTCTTACACTTGCTTTGTTTGTTCGTTTTCCGAATAAAATCTAAATACTCCCTCCGTCCCAAAATATTAGTCCCTTATTCCATTTTTTATTGTCCCAAAATATTAGTCCCTCTTCAAAAATCAAGTACAAAAATAATATAAATTTCCTATTTTGCCTTTCTTTTAAATTAATAAACAATATAAAAAGTACAATCATGACATTGATATTCTCAAAAAATGTATTATCAAAAGGGTAATTTTGGAAAATAAACTTTTTCAAATGTAATAATTGTACTATCAAAAAAAGTTGAATTCCCCAAAAGGGACCATTATTTTGGGACGGAGGGAGTATGTATCCTAGTGTATGTCGTTAAATTTATAAAATATAAATTTTAATTTTAAATTAATAACATTGTAATGTTTATTGCTCAGGTGATAAAAATGTTATTTTCCAGACTTTCACCATTTCAATATTTAATTTTTTGGCTGCCACATAACTCTTCTATCTTTCTTCAATATTACTCTCTACTCTTTCTCTGTTTTTTTTTTTTTTTTTTTTAATTTTAATTTTTATTCATTTGGAACTTCAAATATAAAAATCTCAACTAGGAAGAGATAAAATAAATTTGAGGTAATCATTGGGGAGGATCAACTCCAGTAGACACATCATAAAAGGACTGCAAAAATTAAATTTTGAAAAAAAAAAATTACAAAAAGAAAATTATACCAAATAATAATTTAAATGATGTGTCAATGACATTTATAAAATTATAAAGAAAATAATACATATTTTGAATGGAACTAAAAGAGACTACAAAACCACATAATTATCTATGAAAATTTACATAAAACTGCTGGGAGAACAACAATATTAAGATACCTCTTATTCTACACATTTTAATACACTCTCAGGGTGGGTGCACCACAATATATTAGGGTCACACCCATATCTTTTTTATTGATATGAGAAAGCAAATGAAAGCCTTTACACAAAACAAAGGACTAAATGTGCAGGTTGGACCAATAACTAACCATAGCTGCCTGCCTAGCTACTAGTAGTATCCCACCCACTAACAGTTTCAAGGAGATAGGTGATTTCTTGCAAGTCAAGGATAAAAACACCCAGCAAATAGGCAACTCTAAGTGGAGCTTATATCACCACTGCGGGTGGTCGCAACGTGGAAAGGTACTTTCTTTCCACCCAGGTGAATACGACTTGATTTTTCAAGATCACAATTAGCGTTTTTTCTAATTGGTTCAAGTTAATCGTGTTGTATTCTGATTAATCGTGTTGTATTCTGATTATAACTCTGTCTCTTATGCTAAAAGTTGGTGCACTTTTCGTTTGTTCCGATGATGAGTCTTTTCCTTAGGTTGGACTAAACCTAACTTATAACTGGTTATCTTGGGATTAGGATGGTGCCTTCAGAACGTCCTTTCTTTTATGTTTAAAAGAAAAAAAATGGAGCTTATATCAGTAAATTAAAAAAATAAAGTATATTATTTGTTAAATTATTACTTTTTCAAGTATTGTTTGTGGGATTATATAAATGGTGCCTGTGGTGGCGCCAGAACAGCATAGATTTTATTTTTTTTAACCTATGAACCAAATCCTCATCCATTTCAAATTATTTCATCACTTTTTTTTCTTCTCCATGTAGACCTCCTGAAATTATTGATTCCTCACATTTGTTTGCATTTGAGATTGGTTATTTCGATTAAAATTTAAAATAATAATAAAAAAAAATTCAGTGGGGTAATCTTTTTTTCTTTTTTGAAGGGCTTTCTTCCTTTATGTTATATTGGATTAGTTTTGGCACATTTCGACTGCGACAAACATACATTATGCATATTTGCACGCAGATAAATCTGTATTTATGTATGTACATATATGGAAGAATATGATATGCATGCATGGTTCAAGCGTAAGAGAATATGCTGATGCAATGCAACCAAAATCAAATTACAGTTCTGATACCAGTACCGGAAATAAATACATAAATCAATATATAAATTACAAGTGAATGAATAAAATTTTAAAAAAATTGTTGATAATGTCCACTTTAAAAATATCTTACCCATCTATGTATTCTTTTTTTACATCTAAGGTTATGTCTTCATCATTGGTGAGCAATAATTGGGAAATTACTAATTTCGAATTAGTACAATAGTCTCCAAAAAGCAGTAAAAGCTACATACATACGCCAAAAAAAAAAGAAGAAAAACCAAACAAATACAGAGAGAGAATGAAATTAGTATATCACTCATCATCATATTATATAATACACAAGATTGAAAAACTAATTGAAGAGATTTGTTAAGGCTAGCTAGCTAGATAGTCATGGGTTGAAGAGAGAATTCCCACATTTGCACTTCCAACTCATGGGCTTGTAGTTGGAGCTGTCATCATCACCCCCTCTGGCATAGTCGATTGATGAGGATGAGCTTTTGCTTCCAGTCCCAGTTTTAATCTGTGGGTTTGTGGGCACCTGAATTGCCTCGCAGTGCCCACACGAACTGCATCTCCTCTCGCACTGCGGTGGCTTCGACCCGATCTGCCCTCTCAAGATTGTCTTCTCTTCCTGCATTATTGATTTCTATCCAATTCAACAATACCACCCAGCAAAAAATAAAATAAAACTATATATCAGAGTCACAGAAAGCGAAAGTGATCTCTCACCTGATAATGGCCAACTTGTCTGGAAATTGCTCTGCCTGTAACATACAAAACAAATAAATTTTAGCTGAAAATTCACTTTCTTCTGATGTGATATTATATATATGTATAGAGTGGCATTTACCTTCAGCAATTAGTCTCGGGTGTGTAAAGCTTGAAATCAAGAGAAAGAGGAAAGAAATGGCAAGACAATGATGAAGTTTATTATGAGTAGAACCCATTTCAGGGGAAGAGCTGAAGATGCAGAGGAGCGGTTGAGAAACTGAGAGATGAAGAGGAGAGATATTTAAAAAAAAAAAGGTGAGAGTTGTGTGCTGATTGAGATGTGAAATGAATATAAATATGAAAAGGGATTGTGAAAAGAGTAAAAAGCTGTTTTAGGAATCGATTATTTTAATAATTTTTTTTAAATAAAATATTTAGTTCCAAACAAGGCGTCCACCATATTCTAAGCTAAGCTCTCTTCCTCTTTCACTTTCTTCTTTTTCTATGTTTCTCTCACTTGATAGAGAGTTGAGATGATGGAACAGGGAAGGACAAAAGAGTAGAGCAGAAAGGCCTTAAAATAAAAAAACAAAAAAAAACGAAAAGGAGCACCGAATGGGAAGAACCACCCTCAACCTCGTTTCATGAGCCCCTCTCCCATAAACAACAAAAATAGAATTTTCACTTAGGGTCGGACCGTGACTAGTACAGATTTGAGATAGTTCGGTCCAATTCAATTTATTGAGTTTATCATTTAGATTATTTTTGGTAATCAGAATCGTTCATATTTTAGAATTTGTTGAGTACATTATTGTCGTAAAAAATCATGTCGATCGGATAACAGATACTATATATTCGAATCACTTTTATCTAGAAAAAAAATAGATAGTCAGAAAATTAACGATTCATAAAAAAATGATCCGAATACATAATATCCGTTATCTGATCAACGTAATATTTTACAGAGATAATGTACTTAACAAATTCTAAAATGTAAACGGTTCGGATTATCGAAAAATGACTCGAAAGTAGATCCAATGGACCGAATTGGACCCTCAGGTCCCGTTTGTTTTCAGAGGTAGAATGGAGGAAATTCATAGTGAGGGGATTGATAGTAAGGGGATTAAGTAAAATTGTGTTTATTTTGATAATAGTTGTTAGTGTAGGAATTGTTAAATTATTTTTATATAAAATAATAAAACAAATATAAAAAAATTTATAATCCTCTCACTATTTTTCTAATACCATCTCTACCTCCTCCTTCCCAATCCCCCTTCCAAGGCCTTTACTAATACTAAGGGATTAGGAGTCCCCTCCCCATTTCTCAAAACAAACGCCCCATATAGTAGTCTCACCTCACTATCAATCTCAATCCCCTCCCTATAACCCCAAACAAACGAGGTCTCAGTCCACTGGAGGCAAGCTACAGCCTTTCACTTATTAATACAAAAATCAATCATATAATTAAACACAAAATATAAATAAATAAAAATAAATATATATATATATATATTTAAATTGAATAATAGTAACAAATTTTGTAAAATTTTATCAATTATAATGTACTATGTATCTAGTTGTGTGATCAATTTTTGTGTTCATAATAAATTTGTTTTCTTTTAAGATTTAATATTTGAATGATACAACATTGACAATTCTAAATGGAAAACGCTAAAAATAGCCCTAAAAGTTGATATTAGTATTGAAAAATTGTGTAAAATGTGTATTAAAATATGTAAAAAAATTTATTGAGACTATAAATAATTTAACATTCTGTTCCTTTATTGACAGCTCTTAAAACTATCATTAACTGGAACTATTTTAAAAATATAAGTTAAAATTTTTTATTTTAAAGTGATGAAATCAAAGAGAAATCCCATTTCAACGGTACTTTAAAAATCATTTGACTGGAAAAGTTTATGATTTTGAAAGTTATCATTAATATAAAAATATTATTCTTGTGTAAAAGTGTACAATTTATCACTAATATAAAAAAAAAAATTAAAAGTTACACTGACATCAACATAATATATATAATTTTGAATTGATTTTATGTACAATTTATTATGCTTGTATAATAAAAAATAGAGCCGTGTTACCGACTCCCAATGGGGCGACTCTTACTGACAATCTCCAGTGAGGTGTCATCTCCTCATTGGCTGAAAAAATAAATAAATAAAAATATTTGATCGAAAAAAAAAATAATAATAAATATTTTTTTTTTTTTTTGTGCACCAATCACATGCGACCCCAGTACCCTCACCGGGGATCGGAGGCTTTTTTCTAAAAAATATTTAGAATTATTTAAGTTTACACTATTCATAGGTGGCGGTGTTGGAAGTTGAAACAATACTGCAAATTCAAAAAAAATATACTCAAAAATCTTAACATATGATTTAAATTTATTATACACAGACCCACAACACACAATTTCAATCTCCACTGCACAACCCATTCTCAGCCAAAATGTGAGACCCAAAATCTGAGTAGTAGACTTCTGTATTGGAAGAGGGGAGAGGGGAGAGGGGAGAGAGGAGTGTAGAGATAGAATAGAAGACAAGAACCCACGAGGACAGCAAACGGACATCTCAGATTTGCAGCTTTTTAAAATTCATTTTATGGGTTTTCGCTTTCCTTTCGTTTTCTCTCCTAATTTTTTTGTCCCTGAATTGGGTTTTGCTTCTACTCGTTGGTTTTAGCAGCAGTCACACACCTCCTCATCACGCCATATCCCTCTCTCTCTCTCTCTCTCTCTCTCTCCCCGAGACGAATGTGTATAAATACACGCAAATACATGTATATAGACAAAGATGGAAAAGGATTCTACTACCTAGTTTACTGTGTGATTTCAAAATTGTAATTTTTCACTTACTCGAACACAGGGTTTTAGAGCATCTCCAATGCACTAGGCATATAATACTTGTTAGTTAAAATGCCTAGTGTGATTTACTTTTTTCAATTCCAATGCACTAGGCATATGATTAGGCATTTTGCCTCAACTCATATTCACTAGCTACATGTAGCTAGCCTTCAACGCTAGGCAAAATGTATTCAATCATTAGGATCATTTCAAACACCATAAAATTAATTAATAATAACACAAGATATTCAAGGAAATGCCAACACGTGTGGACACACGTCCCTGTGTGATTGGTTGCTTTGCTTCAATGCTCTATGCACCAATTGATATATAGTTTGGGAAGACTAAATAAGTGTACTTTTTGACTTTTTATAAAATATGAGTTGGGTTTCGGTTGGGTTTGAAGTGATGTGTTAGAGAGGTGATGTGACTTAAATAAGATGATGTGACTTAAATAGGATAATGACTTTTTGACTTTTTCTCTTTTTTCAATCATGCCAAACTTGGCCTAAGTGTATCAGTATGACATTACTATTTTAAAATTATGACTCCACATATTATACAAACTACAAAGATTCAAAATCTCTAAAATTATGTTACATCATCCGTTAGTACACTAATTGATATATCAATCGGTACATATAGCATTATTAATTTTTATTGCCATCTAACCTAATAAATTGCAGGAAATAATTGAAATATCCTATTAAAAATAAGGAAATACCAAAAAATCCTATTCACTTTCAACAATATGAGGATACTAACACATTTATTAACAATTTCACTAACACACTCGTAAGTTTTGATAAAATGTACTATCACTTGATATGAGACTCGCATCAACTTGTGAGTGCGTTAATAAGATTGTTAGTAAATGTGTTAGTATTCTTGAGATTTTTCATTCACTTTTAATTGTTACCACAAAATCTTATTTTTATTTTTAAGCGGTGTTATCATGAAAAGTGTCACTAATTATTCATTTTTAACAATAATTACAAAAATTATCACAAAAAAAGCTACTAGTTATAATTTTTTAGCATAAATTTAGAAAATCGTCACTAATTGTTATTTTAGCTACAAAATTTAAAGATCTTCACAAAAAAAATTATTAATCGGCATTTTTTAGTGACAATTTTAACATAACCAACTTTCACCGACGAATTAATTGAACTTTTTAATCTATACAAACACTTGTAGGATTTAATAGTGCACAAATTTACCTTTTTTTCTTAGTACAATAGAAAGAAAAGAAACAGGAAAAATAAATAAACAAACAACAAAACAAGATCGATGGAAATTCAGAGGCTAGATCCTTGGATGTTTCATCCCGATCATATCTGCGACAATACGAGTCCTAACAGCAGCAGGTCCTGCTGATCAGCTCCCCTCCCATGTTAGCGAGCTTATGAGCACACTGGCTGACTTCACGTGGGATGCGTTGGATGGAGCAATTGCACCATAGGAGCAGGACCTTATAACAAAGACCTTAATTACCCATAAATTGTCTTCTGTCATGGGCCTCATTCAGAGCCCAATTTCACCATTATCGGGCCACCTTAATAAAAATATATTTTGTATTTTTTGGATGGTAAATAGAACAGTTTAAATGACATTCATGATATCGTCCGTGGCCTACTTAAAAGAGTTCTCCTTTCAATAGCTCTGTTTGGTAGAACTGTGAGAAAATACTTATAACTTATACCTAAATAGCTTATAGCGTATAACTATAAACATAAGCTGATTTTGACTTATAAATTAAGCATCTCCTACCCCACTCAAAGAATAAGCTAATTTTTGACTTCCAAAAAGTTATAAGCTATAAATTATAAGCTAAACCAAACGCATCAAAATAATTTAAATTAAACTAAAAACTGAAATAAATAATTTTTAAACTGCACCAAACAGACACAATGGGTCCTTTGCCACACAGGCCCGCTTTAAAAATAACATCTAACCTATTTATAGATAGGGTCATGCTCGGAGCTCTAATTAGAGCTGCAAAAGGACAGCTCTAATGAGCTGTCAACCAATAAAAAAAATAAATAAAAAAAAAAAGTAAAGTAAAAGACAAAAAAGGGGAAAGAAAAAGCCAAATTAATGCTCTATTAGAACTCTTCTTTTAGAGGTCTAAATCATTTTTGTTACAACAATGATTCATCCCACTAAAAATATCACCACTAATAGCACTAATGCATTAAAAAAGTAAAAAAATAAAATAAAAAATGCAACTCTAAGACCAAAACATCACATCATTAATGGCGGGACCCACTGCCACCTAATTAGTGAGAGCACTAATTAGTGCTCCCAAGCATTTTTCTTTTTGTTATAGATAATTGGATATGTTGGCAGGAATCTAAGCTTATGTTTGATTGATTTGGTATTTCAGGTTGACTTTTTTTCTTTCTTTTTTTTTTAATTTTTAATTTTTATTTTTACTTTTGGATTCCATTCAACTGGACCAAAAAAAATTAAAAATTATAGTCCAAAAAATTTTACACTTTTAAGTTCTAATTGATTTATTATTTTTTTTTGTTTTCCATTTCCATTAGTTTTCACTATTTTTATCTTAGAGTTATGTTAAGAATCTCAAATAATCTATTAAATTTTTTATCAAATTCTCATATGACACATGTGAATTTATATAAGTCCTACACCCATATAAAAAATTTAACAAACGCTTTAAGTTTCGTTTGGGGAAGTGAGTTGGCTTTTTAGTTTTTTGACTTTTTTAGTTATTTTAACCTGGCTAAAAAACTT